TTCCGGCAAAGAAGGCGTCCTTGCAAACATGCAAGTGGCACGAAACTAGATCCATGACCATCATGGTGAAGCAGGGGAGAACGTAAGAATGCATCTCATTCGCTGACTGAAGTGCAGGACGTGGCGATATTCAACGTTCTTGCCTCTCCCGAAAGATGCCCCCCCAGCCCTACCCCCATGGCTTCTGGCTTCTCACCATCCACCGAGCCGGTGGAAAAAATAAGTGGCACAGCACCCCATACTAAATACCGTTGTCAGACTGCATTATCCTCCCTCTATAGAATTCCAAGATACTTTTCTACCACCCTTTCTCAGGGATTATCGTCAAAAATTACTATCATTATGTTGCTTATAAGCTCGTAATTGTAACTAGAGAATAAAATCCACAGTTTCGTACCTAAAACTTTGAGTAAAAGACAAATTGACCCAAGGGTATTCTGGTCATTACTTCGCTGTGCCACTTATTTTTTCCACCGGCTCGCCACCCAATCATCTCCTGTTATTCTGCCTCATGCTCAAAATCTGCGCCATCCGGATAAAGATGTTCAAAAAGTCCAACTCGAGCGAGATGCTCTCGTTGACCACGTCCTTCCTCACCAATCCCCGCTCGCTCATCCTGGCATGGTGCAAGATCTTTTGCACGTCGTAGAGGGTAAATCCACCAAAGACTGCGAGACCGCCATACAGCCAGATATTCTCGGTCCAGGCGAGCGTGCGGACGGCCGTGGCGGGGAGAACCAGTGGCGCAAACCCAGAGATGGCGACGATGGCGACACCCGCAAGCAACGGGCCTCCCAGGTATAGGTACTTCTCTTGCTTGGCCGTGGCGCCGACGAACGCGATCGAACCCATCATGCCAACAGTGTAGAGTCCAGCGCGAGCCAGGATCGCAGGCGAGAGGAACATTAGCGGAGTGAGGATGGCGGCCTGGGTAACGTTGAAAGCTGTCCAAAGGGCATATTTTTGAACGTAGCTATTTCCATCTTGTCAGCGCAACATGTCCCTCTGACCTTGCAGGGTAAAGACAGAAAGAGAACTTACTTGTCAGGGTGCGTGTACATTGTGCCGTACATGGTGCCAATACTGGCCGCCAAACCCAGCCCGACCACCAACCACGGGTTCGTGGCCATCAGTCTGTAACTCCATCCGCTCGTGTGCAGTGTCCTGGCCGCAAGGCCTATAATGCCGACGCCGAGGCCGGTGTGCATAAACGTCTGATTCAGGTATTCCCGCTCAAAGGGCGGCATGCCGCCATCCTCGCGCGTTTCGCGGTTAAAGATGAAATTGGTGGCCACGATCGTTCCACCGATCAGCGCCGCGCCGTAGAGAAGCCGTTGTGTGAGGTTCCCGCTCGCGGCTGGGTTGGCGGGCTGGTACGAGGGCGTCTGGTAGCCGCGCTTGAAGCCATTGCGCAGAGCTGCAGACTTTAACAGTGACTGTGCGTTCGAGGCTGAGCCAAGTGGCCGGGGGTTGAAGAAGGTGTTTGACGATTTCGGAGAGGAGTGGAACGCCCGGACGAGCGTCGAGGGGTTACTGAGTGGTCGCAATGTGTTTGAGGAGACCGCAAAGGGCCTCCGGAGAATGAATGACATGGTGAATGTGCTCTTGTAACCAGAATGCGAGATGGGAGAGAAGTTGTGTGAATCGAAAGAAAAGAGAGTCGTTGTCCTTAAGTGTACATCGAACGACGCAGGCATAAAAGAAGCTTCGCCAGACAAATCCATCCCGAGGCGCCGCCACACCTCAATGACGCACAGGGTGATACGGGGTCGTTGATTGGCCAGGCAAAAGACCTGCGTCATCACGTGGGATGCGGATATTCTTGTCCGGCGCCACTTTTGTTACACAGCCGAATTCTCGATGTTTCCAGCAAGGCTTCACCTCCCTACCTAACTGAGTATTGGTACTATGCACACTTGTACACATGTAGATACCTCTCACTTCTGACGTACTGATATCTCTCTCATTCCTTGCCTGTTCAACCCCTCGCCTATTCTAAATTCACCTCACGGAATATACCTAAAGTCAGGGTGCTTGTGCCCGAGGTCCCGCTTCTCGGCGTCATTCAACCCCTCAAGTCGATGCGTCCTCCTCCCTCGCTCCCGCAATCTATTCTCACGCATATTGTACCCGATTCCAAAACTGGCCACAAAGAAGACAATGATCTGTGCGGACAGATTGATGGTGTGTCCAATAGGGTACCGGGGTCCATCGCGGACGAGGTAGGTCCATCTGTACGAGGTCAGCTTGTTTGACTTGTCAGAAATGCTGGAGCACGTGGTGGTCCCTTACGTGGCAAGGACACCTCCCAGAGTGCCAATCGACACGATCCACGCTGTTGCAACAGCACGCACTGCTGGGCCGGCAGAATCTGTCAAGTGTTAGCAGTGATCCGTCGAGCGTCCAAGCAACTCTGCATACTGTTGATTCCCCACGACAGAAAACCCGGTCCACCTGGGAATGCTCCCGTGGTGATGAAATACACGGCCATGTAACGGATCGAGGCATTTGTGCTCCATCGAAGGATAGAAAACCCGGCGATGGGGAGAAACGTGGCCACTGCGAGGTAGATGCCACGCCTGCGAGTCTTGTCGCTGATGTATGCGATCAAAATAGCCACGAGACACGCAGCCACGTAAGGGGGAACCGAGTACAGTTGCGCCTTGGTGGCGGTCCACCCGAGATCCGCGAGGATGGTGGGCATGAAAATAGAGAGACCTTGGACGGTGATGTTGATCAAAAAGAAACCGGCCGCGCACAGATTGTTGTTGATGTTGAAGATGGCGGCTCGAATGTGATGCCATTGAACCCTCTCCATCGGATCCTGTCTCTGTTAGCCTTGTGGTTCTGAAAATAGACGACCTAGAACAGCTCACAGCGCGATGCTCTCGGATCAGCCGTTCATGGGCAATATATCGTTCTCGTTCGGTGAGAAAACGACAAGTCTGCGGGTTAGACGGCATCAATGCTGGCGCAGCCGCCGAGATTATAACAGTAATCTAAAGCCCCGTCAGCCCAGACTTGCGGCAGAAATATTGCCGAAACCCACCAAGCCCTCGAAGAAGAAGATATTTCTCCAGCTAGAACACAAAATGTCAGACGACTGAATGAGTGCACATTCCTGGTAACAGCACTCACGTATGAATAGGAGTAGACTCAGTGCCCCACCGAGGGATACGACTGGGTTTCATTAGCAAAAGCCATTACTGTTTACCAGGGAAATATACTCACGACAGTGCGGTGGCGAACAAGCCTCCAAAAGCCCCCGCGAGGGAAGCGGCCGAGATGAAGATGCCAACGCGGAAGTACAACTCTCGGCGCTTGTAGAAGGTGCTGAGGAAGAACGAGATGCCAGGCATGGTGCCGCCCTCGAAGACGCCCAGAAACGCACGGGCGACGCACAGCTCGTTGAAGTTCTTGACAAAGGCGGTGCAGAGGGACACGAAGCCGAACCCAAAGACTAGACCGGGGATGTAAAATCGAGGGCCGATGTGTTTGAGGAGGATGTTGCTGGGGACTTCGACCAGGAGGTAGATGATGTAGAAGACGCTGAGGGCCCAGTTGAAGCGGTAGCCCACTAGGTCGAGGTCCTTGGCCATTCCCTGGATGCGAGCATTTCCGATGTTGGCGCGGTCGAGGAAGCAGAACAGGTACAGCAGGGTGACCAGGGGCACAATCCGCCGGTCAATCTTCCTCCTGATGGCCGTTTCTTCCTGTTCTGTCCAGTCGATGTCCTCGGTCGACGACTCGCTCTTTGTAGGATCCAGCTCAAAATGGTCAAACGCTTCCGCCTTCAACGTCCCTGTAGCAATTCCAGCCATATTGGATGCGAGGCGTGGGTTGGAGAATGGCGGCCTTTATGTTGTCGAGACAGCAATGAACGCGCGCATGAAAGACCACACGCGAGTCTTGAAGACGGGGTGATCTGTGAGAGTTGAGTATTTCAAAACGAAGCCCGTTCGAGATCTCCCCCAGACTTTCAATCACCGCCCCACATACCAATGCAGACTGCGGATCGTCCATCAAAGAGAGGACCTCCCCATGTCGCAGCCCAGGGCATGCGGCATAGATGAAAATGGTGTCGCATCCGGTGGGGAGAGGGAAAGCACACCGGCTGTGTGATGAAACGGGGTTGGGAGAGAGTCATGACGTTCGTCGCTGTGCTCGCTACCACCGTGTCAAGGATTCAGCATATGGGCCAAGGCCCAAATGGAATATTCCTCGCTGAGTGATAGGTTGCTCTGCCAAAGTGGCGGGTGGAAGCCAAGTGACAAGTGAGTCTTGGGAGTCTGGGGAGGTCTGGGTTTTTAAGGCGAATGGAAAAGCAGAAGAGGCGATCATTTCTTGGCCGAGTCCAAGGGAGGAGGGGTGGAAGAGTCGGTGGCGGAGGTGACTTGCAAGTTGTGTAGGAATAGGACCATTTGAAATGCTCCACGTGGGACCTGATGACCTTGTCCTCTCTCTCTTAGTGTCAGATAGGAGCCGGTTGAGCTGGGCCGGATCATCTCGTGGTAGAGCATCAACGACAAGGCTGTCCGCTTTGAGCTCGGAGCATGGATCCGGAAAGGGAAAAGGCATGACAGTAGAGGAACGAGCTAAAAGATTTCTTGGTCCGGGTAGAAGGGGGATACGAGGGACCAAGCACAGCTTCTCTTCGACAAGAATTGTTGCAGTTGTTCCCTTGGCGATGGATGCCTAGACTTCGGCAGTTGTTGATGAGGGAACAAGGTGATGCCACTTTTACATATCCGCTGCGTGTCCTCCACTTGGAAAGGATAGATCTGGCAAAAAGTAGAAACAGGCCGTTGATATTCCGGGTGAATGGTAAGCAGCTACTCCTTTGGATATCATAGGGCGAACAAGGACAAGTTGATTTTGTGGGGATGGTGGTAGCAGTACCAGTAGACATCGATGGGCAACAGACCCTCAGGCCACCCTGAAAAGAAGCCCAATTGGAAGAGCCCGAGCCTCATCCTGATCCTCCAGCTACTGACCCTCCGTCATCCATCCCGAAAGAACTGCACAACGTGGCTGGCCCCATCTTCCTCCCCAGCCTTGCCCACCACATCCCCGCCATATCGAAAGTATCCAGCCAGATTACCTTGTATCGGCATCGAATGCTTGGTGATCTCCTCTGGCGTCCCAAAGACCCATACTGTCTGCTGCCCCATCACGATATGCTGTAGGATGTGGCAGTGCATCATCCAAACACCGACGTTCCTCTCGGTGATACGTATGCGCCATACTCGCCAGCCATTCACCTTACCGGGCTCAGGAGACTGCAACGTGTACTTGTACAGCATGGTCGTGTCACGCCGTGAGCCAGGGTAAGGGACATTGTCAGTAGAATGCGATTCCAGCAGCGCCGTATGCGCTTCAGGCGAGTATTCCCCCGAGCCCGAGCCCATGTCCCAGTATGGCCCACCGTGAGCATGCATGGGATGCGGACCGTAGATCCCCGCCGGGTAAGAAGCAGCATTCTGCCACACAATTTCAAGCACCTCGCCAATGTGGGCTGGATATGTCTGTGACAGCAGGTCAAAGCCTCCGTTAGCAATTGCACGGCCGTAGTCTGGAGTGACACCATTTATGCTCGCATTCTGAAGAATCTCAACGAGATACGGTGTATCTGTTGTTGGCCCCAGAGGAGCGCTGTCGCTCCAGTATCGATTGTTCGAGATCATCACTGTGTTGCCGGAAGAGTTTTGGAGGAACTGTGAAGTTGAGACGATGATGCGCCGCGTCACTTCTGTTGCATTAGGGGGAGCCTCGTAGCCTGCCAAAGGGGGATTTTGAAAAGCATACTCCAGCCAATCCGTGACATTGGTTGGCAGTTCCAGGATCGGTGCCGTAGGGACGGGATCCGGACATGATGAATTTGAGGTCAAATACCGAGAGCTCTGGACCTGGCTAGACTCCAATGCTTGCGATGTCGACAGCCCCACGTCGGTGTAGTTGAGAATAGCCCAAGCAAAAACCGTATCTTGGCCTTCTCGAGTCTCGAATTGAATCCAGAATTTTGTCTGACCACCCAAGCATTGCAACTCGCTTGGCGATTTTGTTTGCAACAAGAAACTGAATCTTTGACCCGTGTCGACTTGTACATAAGGAGTCTGTACAGGGTAGACGTACAAGTTGTCTGTTTCGATGATGGTCAAATTGTCGTGCTGTTCAAGACCAAACAGCACCAAAGACAACGCAGTGCTGCCAATGACGCGTACTCGATATGTCTTGCCTGCCTCGACATTCATAACCCAAGGCCGACATGACTGGTCCGAGGGTCCTGGGGCGGAAGAGCCAGGGGCTATCCCACTCTGTCCGTTGATGAGTAACGACGTTGGATCCCCAGTCCATATCCAAGGCACTCCCGTCAACTGTGATTCGATTGTGTGGTCTTCTTCGGGGTAAAAGTCACCAATCTTCATAATTATCTCCTCGTCGTACGCGTATGGCGGCGGCACAGCATCCTTAACTATCAAAGCTCCGGTAGCCGTGATGGCTTGGAAACCTACATGAGAGTGGTAGAAGGATGTTCCAGCTTCGCTAGCACTCGGATGGAGCTCGTAGTCATAAAAACATCCAGGCGGGATCGGCCACTGTGAAGCTTGCGGAGCACCGTCAGCGTAAGGCGCCGCAGATAGTGCAAGGCCATGCCAGTGCTGAGGGTTTCATCAGTTAGCAAGCGGAGCTTTGCGAAACACAGTAGAAAACTTGTAGCTTACCATTGTTGTATTCACATCTGCGTCGTTATACACCCGAATCCACGTTGTTCGCTCAGGTTCGAGATAGATTGGGGGTGCCGGATATGTACCGTTGATAACGGTCGAGAGACGAGGCTGGCAGTTGAGCTGGATAGTGGCGAGGCTAACTCGCAGCACGATATCTGGAGTGATGCGGGCATTCTGCGCCTCAAACTTCTCCGCAACAGCTAAATGGGCAGTAAGCTGGCAAAGGAAAAGGCAAGCTTGTAGCCAGTATGAAAAATGGTAGAGCATTTCGGAGATGAGATCCCTACTATGGAGAGGAGAGTACCGGACTGAACACGCGACAGTGAGAGTAAGACCATTTGAAGACCTCACCTTGAGAGTGTTGAGGTCGGGAGAAGCCATGCTCAATACAATATTAACATCGCAATTGACTCCTCCATCTGGGATGCGCGTCGTAGCTACGTCAGCTATGGTCGAGAATTTGAATTGGGCTGGTCTTGTAACTGATATGATTTGTCGTTAGCCGGTGTCGTGAACGGACGAAGCACTACCTGCAAGGACCCGACGGCGAAATCGGCATAAGTTGTGTGATATTGTCAAAGACATCGCGGAGGTCCGAGACCAAGATGCCACGGCAACGGTGGTACAGAGATATATTCGTGGCACCTAACAATGTGGTTGTGCGAATTATATTGAAGGAGTTTGCAGAGTGGGGAGGCGATTTAAAGCACAGTGTCTGACAGCGAGATTTCCCCCCATCTCCTCTCTAAGTTGAGGGTGTGAACCACGTGGGACCTTGTCTGATGCAGGATAGTTTTCTGTCAGACGAAATATCACCCAATAGAGGGTACGGAGTGTGGAAGGGAGCCTTGCTGGTATTGCCGTACAATGCAATGACTACCTCGACTCTAACTGTATTTCTAGCATTTTGTATCTATAACGACATCCCCATCTAGTCTCGCCAATGTCGATTTACAGCTTCGGAAACCTGACCCTCAGGAATTGGCTGGGCCAGGCAACATCGACGCCCAACTTCCAACCCACTTTCAACACCCACTCCGGCTCTCTCATAAACTGCCTCGCCACGAGGATCACGTCCGCCATGGGCTCCTTGCCACCCTTGGCATCTGTCATCTCTTTTGCGGCGTTGGCTTCCTCCCCAATACTCTTGTCCGATGCTTTATCTTCAACAATATCCCGTGCCTGTTCGGCTTCCGTGATGAGGCCTACTGCACCAATCAACAGCTTGAGATGGTCCGCCTTCAACGTTTGACGGATCTGGTTGGCAATCTTGGTCTGGTAGTCCTTGGACGCAAACATGTTGATGCGCTGCTGAGGATGATTCCCGCCGCTGCTGACATCAAGAAGATCCACTCCCAGTCCAGGTAGCAGACGCGCAAGCTTGATGGTGCTCTCCACGTCCCAGCTCCCCAGCTGCTTGCCCAGATCTGTCTCCTCCAACCACTCGGTCGAGCTGACGCGCAGGAATAGAGGCATATCCTGTGGTATCTGTGCCCGCACGGCCTTGACGACTTCGACCAAGAGACGTGTGCGATTTTCAAAGCTGCCGCCGTACTGATCTGTGCGCCTGTTCGTGATAGGGCTGAGGAATTGGTGGATGAGATAGCCATGGGCGGCGTGGATTTCAATCACGTCAATGCCGGCCTGCACAGCCCTTCGCGCACTGTCTGCAAACGCTTTAACCACGTCTTTAATCTCCTCCACGGTCAGCTGCCTCGGAGGCCAGAAGCCGCCATCCTGCGCCAACCCTTTGCCATCCCAGCTCTCCTCTGGCCCACCCATCGGCCCAACAACATCTTCCGGCCATCCGTCGGCACTCTTGTCCGCGCGCACCGACGGTCTCTTGAGAGATGACGAAATCCATGGCGGCAGGGTACTCGCCTTGCGTCCGGCATGAGCGAGTTGAATCCCGGAAAGGGCACCCTGTGACTTGACAAAATCCGAAACACGCTTGACACCATCGGTCTGAGTGTCATTCCATAGGCCAGGACAATATGGGCTGATACGCCCGTTGTACTGCACGCCCGTTGCCTCGATAAACACCAATGCCGCGCCCTTTAGAGCGTAATGACCTAGTGTTGCGATGTGGTAGTCGGTAAGTTTCCCAATGTCCGGACCGGAAGAAGCAGTCGAGTATTGGCACATTGGCGCCACGATTATGCGGTTGCGCAGGGTCTTGGAGCGGATCTTGAGAGGCGTGAACAGCGTTGGGGTATCGGCAGATGGGGTAAATGGCGTCCCAGGACTTGAGGCATGGGCTGGGGTAAAGTATGGGATATTTGGTACCCCTTTGTTGACGAGGATGGGAGAGTCGGATGAGCCCATGGTTCGCGATGGATCAGCAGGGTCGTGATGTCGGGTGTCTCTTATTGTAAGACGGGCTGTCCGCCGATGAGTCGTGGTCTGGCTCTTTTAGGGGGTGTCAGATAAGGAGATTGTAGAAAAAGCAACAAACATCCAAGGTCAACGCTCCAGTCTCAAGAAGTGGTAATCTGACGATAAATCTTTTACGGGAATCTTGAACTTTTATAATTGCGCCAGACATTGAGAGAAGACTGGACCGGCGATAGAGGCGACGAAACGCCTTGCCGTTGATTTCTAAGACGATCGCGAAGACGTTGGGGAATTGCGAATTGATAGTGCGCTATCCGGTCAGACACCGACTTAACCGAGGCAACATGCCAGAAATGCATCTCCAACCGCTGACAATTGAGAGTTGGTGGTGTATCCCGTATAGGAAGATTACACGACGGTATATTCGGCCGCAGACCCGGCCAGGGGATAATGTGCTGCTACTGATGGGGTATGCGTCTTTGTCAATATTCAATTAACCAATCCTTCCATTGTGGGTGATATATAATGATCACACTCTTTAGTTGATAGCTCTCTACCACGCATCCTCCTCACCACGGCAACTCGAATCCCTCGCGATGCCAGAACTTGCCCGTGTCGTCGATTGTCTTCTGACTGACGATATTCACCCACAGTTTCCTTGCCGCCTCGTCGGGCTCAACTGTCTCTGGGGGCATCTTTGCACCCGGCAGCAGGTTCGTCCTCACATAGCCAGGATGCAGCAACATGACTGTGACGCCCTTGTCTTTCAAATCCATCGCCATGCTTTTGCCAATGGAGTTGACGGCAGCTTTGGAAGAGCGATAGGCGTAGTGTCCGCCAGAGCTGTTGTCGCCGACTGATCCAACGCGACTCGAGACGATACCGATCTTGGGCTTGGAGGCTTTTAGAATGTTGGGCAAGAGGGCCTGCGTCAGGAGGAAAACCCCAAATGTGTTGACTGCGAACGTCCGTTGAAAGACTTGCAGGTTGCTCGTGGTGAGACTGTCATCTTCACTGGAGGCGGCAACACCTGTTCAAACCCATCGGTTACTTGCGCTCTGATCCCTCCCACATAAGCATGATACAGAGAGGGGTTGCCACACCTGCAATATTGAGCAACAGGTCAACTGCTGTGTCACCGAGAGTGTCTTTGAACTTCTGGATCGACTCGGGAGAAGTCACATCCACTTCAGCAACATGAGCCTTCTTGGCTTTCAGTGCCTGGAGACCATTCCCGCTATCTCGATCGACGGCGTAGACCGTGTAGCCCTACCTGCGGCGTTATCTCGATTGGTTATGATACGGTGACCGAGCTAACCTCATCACAGAGTATATTGGCAAATGCATGGGCGATGCCGGAGTTGGCCCCTGTCACAATTGCAGTCGGCATCTTAGTGTTAGTAGCGTAAGGGGCGATAATAAAGGTTTCTCAAATGGTAAGTCGAGATCGCTCAAGATGGAGCATCAAATCCTGCCTGTCTGGGTAATGTTCTCTCCTATTCGGATTGGATTGTAACAACTTATGACCTGATTTTGACAACCCTCAGTTGAGTGACTAATCTCCCAGAGCCAGCTGGCCACACCCTGGCCAGACAAGGGAAATTGAGGGGGCGATATCATCGGCATGGTAATCTACAACTATGTGCCCTATTATTCAGGCCTACTCGGAACAGTGGCACGGGTTCTCCCAGGCTCGGAGCTGCCAAGGCACTAGTGACGGAACCAAGCCCGGACAACCTCCAGCATGCCCAGTCCCAAGGCCCCAGAGGCTCTTTCGGTCTCAGCCCAGGTGGTTTTCCCGGCATCTAGGCGCCGTAAGCCTCAAAAGTCCCCCACGATCCCCTTAACATCTGCCGCATGTGGCCCCTTTAGCAGGTCTTGGAGTCGCTTGTTCTCGTCACTTAATGCCTGTCCTGGAGGTCGCCTCTCCAGCTGCCGTCCGCTAAGTAGAGTAGTAGATCGTAGACGATGCGCCGGAACGGCTATTGTGTTTTCTACATCTTGTCCTCCTCCCAAACTGTTTTTGACATCGCTTGGTACCGTCGATATCTCTGAGATGTTGTGCAGAGTGCGCCCCGAGTGTGTGACCGTCGAGTAATGCCTGGAGCCCGTCACCTGCTGCTGGCCAATAGCTGCTAGTGCTTGCCTCCCCGCCGCCAGGACTCGGAGTCAGCAATAGGCGAGACTGCCGCCCACGTCTCACGGACGTTGGGCGTCTGATGGGCATGCTTGACCTGCTACCCAAATCGCTGTCCACCAAATTCAACGATGCGATTGCCATATCAACCCACAAACGTGACTGGAGCACCGATTCCTCTGGAAGCAGTCTGCTCAGTCCCTCCCAGTCACCAAGACCACGACGAGGTCGACGGCGGCAATGGAAGCGCTTGAGATTCCTGCCCAGCAAAACAATATGCTACGCCGCAGCAATCGCAATCTTGACCGTCATTGCGCTTTGGTGGTTCCTCAACCCCACGCCCACTGGTGATCACCTTGAATTTTCGAAACCTGATGTCGATGATGGAGTGCCAGAGGATGGTCCTATCCCAATTGGCCAGTCCGTAGATCGCGGTGGGAGAGAAGTCTTCTGGTGGGAGCAATTCCCCAGGTGAGAACAGCCTATTCCACATACCAGTTGAGATGACAGTAATAACCTGGTTCGCAGACTCGACGGCTACTATCGGGGCCGAAAGAATATTGTCCCATTCCCCGACTATGTCCCAGAACAACAGTCCAATGCTTTCGACCCTTTCGAGCCGGGCGAGCATAATGACCCTGAGCTTATTCCGCTGTCGCCGGCCCCTCCCCCAGACATCGAACAATGCTATCTAGACGAAGAGAGGCGAGTCCTGCCACCCACAATATCTGCATATCAAGGGTTACCGCAGGGTATGAGCGCACCACTTTTGGGATCCCAAAATGTGCTTGGTATCAACGATCAAGTCTGCTACGATCGAGTAAATCGACTGGCGCCATACGGCTTGGGAATTTCGGAAGAACAAGGAGGACTCGGCAACCATGCAGAAGGCGATAACGACGGAGTAGAGCAAGTGATTGCCATTGACTGGAAGCGTGTCAAATGGCACGACGCACAGCAGAGTTGTGTGTCGAAGAACTCCCCTCGGCTTCGATCTCGGAGTGCCTTTGTGTTTCGCACGTGGGACAGCTTTCACTACACAGAACATCACATTGCCATGTTACGTGCGATAATCAGCGAACTTGCGATCGTGTCCGGGGGTCAGTACACGGTGCATTTCCTCATCCACGTGCAGGATGACACTCTTCCCATCTGGGCGTCAAAAGAGTTACACGATCAGGTGTTGAGAGACAGCCTGCCAGAAGAATTCCGTGGGATGGGCACACTCTGGTCGGTGGCGCAAATGAAGTTGATCTACCCTCCACCATTTCCTGACAGCATTGTGAATTTCTCAGGCGGTGAAATCTACGAAGCATATCGATCGTTACACTTTCCGCTCCAATACTTTGCTGCTCAAAATCCCCAGTATGATTATTTCTGGCAGTGGGAAATGGACATGAGGGTTACCGGCCACTATTACGAACTGTTGAGCCAGATCGAGACCTGGGCAGAAGATCAACCGCGAGACTATGCTTGGGAGAGGTCATCAACTTTTTACATCCCGTCATTACACGACTATTCCTATGAAAACTACGCCCAATTTGTCATTGACGAGGTCCAGTCTCGCAATGAAACACCCATTTCTGGTCCGCAGATTCCGCAGGAACGACTGCTTAACGTCCCGGAACAGACCGCCCCAGATGGTAAAGACGAAATTACAGATCTAATCACGCTGAACCCCCTGTTCAACCCCGAGCACACCCGCTGGGCTTTCCGCGACGATATAACTGGTTATAACGTGACCCGAGACGGGCGACCGCCTACCAGAGCCGCTCTTATCACAGCGTCTCGAATGTCACGCCGCCTACTTCTGCTCATGCACGAGGAGACCTACCGCAACAAGCATACTATGTTTCCAGAAATGTATCCTGCCTCGATTGCCCTGCACTATGGTCTCAAGGCGATCTACGCCCCTCTTCCGGTGTACTTTGACAGAAACTGGCCCAGCAAACATGCCGATGAAGTCTTCAATAATGCCCCTGTCACCTCGGAACACGAAAAGGCAGGCATGGACCACGGACACGGACACTTCCACGGCGAAGGGGGCAGCGTCTTCGGCCCTGGTGAGCACGTCTTCCGGGGTGCGACGTATTATTCCAATGCAGCGTTTGCCGGGTATCTCTGGAGAAGATGGCTTGGTAGAGAAAACGCCCATAACGAATTGGGTTGGGAGTCGGAAGGAGGCCCAGGGGGCGGGCGCATGTGTTTGCCTATGATGATCCTACATCCGATCAAGTATGAATGACGATGTTGATGAGGTCTAACGCATTCCCTTTGAGTGTGGTGTGTCGGCAATTTCATCTTGTTGAGAGGTCTTGGGCGGGACGAATATACCGTTGACACGGAGAGAGGGTGAAAAAGCCATTATGCCACATGAAACGTGTCAACGATCTAAGCTGTGGTGGGGTTCATATGGCTTCTGCTCTCCAGAAAAGCATTTTGCCCCGGAGAATCTGGTTGCGAGCATTTCTGTATATATCCAGGACATTTGGTTGAAAAGAGACGGGCATATAGAGTACAGGATAATGCTAATTTTGGGCTTTGATAGCGCCAATCGTGGTCGTTGAGTGTCTGCGCGGGCTAGAATATACTCCTCGTCAGCCGAGACGAAGAACCTTCTCACCGCAATGGACCATAGGACGGGAACAATACTCGACGTCGTGAAAGAGGGTCAGATTGTTGGCATCAGTGACTGGGAGTTCGCAGGCTGGTATCCGGAACACTGGGAATTTGTCCAGTTCTTCCGAGCTTTGTACGCCGACTACCGTGACTACGCCGATGTTATATTCGAAAAGGTATATTCTGCCGAGCTTATGGTCGATCACTTTCTGGGGCATTTGACGCGGCATTAGCCCTGGGAATTGTAAGGTCTCGGTCAGGCGTGGCACCGATAGCTTCTCGTAGTATTTCTCCCTCGGGTCCAAGATAGTGATGGGCCTACTACGACCATGCCTCACACATGGGTAGACGGCAAGGCTGCAGTGAGGGCACGAGGCTGAATGTGACAAGGCTGAGCACCCTTATGTCAGCGCCAAGAGAAAATATATCGCGATCTTTTGGTTCCAACCTCAAAGAAGACTTGGTCTTCTACTTGTTGTATGATAAACCACATTTTTGAAGACAGGCCTTTCTGCATTACTCCAACATGGTCGAATTGATCAAACTGGCTCATATGCCAGCAGACCTGCCGCTCTATGTCGCCATGTACACGGACGTGCAGAATGCGCCTTTCCTCAAGGAACAGTTGCTGGCAGGCAACTCCGAGTTCGAGTACGCCTTTATTGATGCGAAAATGGTAAGCCCCGCCCCTCCTCTTCGAGCGTGCAGATTTTGGCCTCTCTTTTATGAGCCTTCTCCCGACTGATGACCCTTGGCGCCATGTGTCACAGGTCGTCTCTACCACCCATGTGCTTGCTGCCGCTTTCCGGGCCATGAACGACTATCTCAATGAGAGGTTGAAGTCACGCAATGTTCACTCGGAGATTGTCTTCTCTCTGAGCCCGAACAACAACGTAAGTGCAGAGTGCAGACGTTCAGGTACAGTTGGGACACTAACGCACAATGGAGATCGGCGAGGCTTTCCGCAGGTTCGGAGTCGGCGAGTCAACTAAAGATTTACTGGTGTTGAAGGTGGCCACGAAGCCGGAAGTTACCCTCGAAAGTGTCACTCAACATCTATCAACGCACATCCAGGGCAAACCGAGTCCATTTGATGACGCAGGTTTGCGCAAGGTCGCCGACATTGACAGAATCCGAAAGGTCTACAAACTCAACTCTGCAGCCTCGGGTGGCCGCCGCTCTGGCAACACTATTAGCAGCGGATCTGGTGCGAAAGACAGCGGGTCCGTTGATGTGACGAAAAATCTTGAGGTCCAGATTCTCGGCCTCATGGCTCTCCGTGGGGCAACGTGATTGTAAGCGTGTCGTTGATCACTCTTTCAGAGCACAAATAGGTGGTCCATGTGACCCCTGTGATATTATTTGGCTCCCTACGACATTATCCGCGCCTGGGTCATGCCAGACAACATCCAATGTCAACGCCGCAGCCTTGCCATTCCCCCTTGTTCCGGAGGTCAGCTGCCGCACCGATGTCAAGGAAAACCGATGCAACAAGCAACTCCATCTTCTTCTGGGCACTCATAGCCTGATTGTTCAACGGCTTCCCACGCCTCCAGTGGCCGGCACTATGACTGGAACATCTCTGCAGGGCTGGGAACTTCGCTCCAGCTATGAAAACTTTTGATATTTTACGCCGGTTTTGGGAGATTTCTGATGCTTTGTATATTCACGAAGCCATCTGCTCGTCCGACACTTGCTAGGGCAATCTCATCATCGCTCACCGCCGTCGCTTTTAATCCAACGCTTTCTGGCGCATTTGTGCGCCTGGACCTCCCAAATGCAACAGGTACCCGCCCATTCTTATACGGTCAAAGAATTGCACGCGAGACAGTCATCTCTTTCCCCTAGCAGGATCAAGTCTGCGCCAAATAGAGCTTGCTATAACCCGATTCTCTTTTGCGGAGGCGGATCAGCGTAACGCCAAAGATGACCAAGCTTATAAGTTCCAGAGCGGCGACCACAATCGACGCAATGAACGTGTATTTCTGAAGGACACCAAGTACATCAGCATTCTTCTAATTGAAATCAGGGGCTTTGAGGTGTTACCATTTCACTGCACATGAACTCAAACGACATCTTCCCATTGTTGAGGTATTGGTGTGTGCACGACCAGGACCACAAGCCCCAGCCCTTTTTGCCCTTGTTGTCCTGCAATTTGAAATAGACAGCGGCAGCCACCCATGCGGCGATTCCAATCAGGGACGTGAAGAAGACGGCTCCGGTGTGCAGGCGGGTTTCGCGCAGGCGACGGATCTAAAGCAGTGGTTGTGGTCAGCAATTGCGAGTGAAAGTTGTTGGGGGAAGCTCACCCCTCCACAGAATGTGAGCATGGAAAGGAGTTGGACAACGATGGCGATGACGGCGGCCGCGAGCATCACCCAGGTCGGCCATAGGTCGATATGGTCTGGCCACCCCCGCTGGAAAGAACCATCTGGCTGCTGCAGAATCACACTCCGAGTGTTGATCCACACGACGGTGGCATGAGCGAGGACGCCGATGATGGACGCTGCAGCCGCTAGAGCAACGATTCTGACGAGCACGCGAAATGAATTGGGGACGGCTCTTGCCTCGCGTTGGGCTCTGCGGATCTGCTCGTGCGTTGGCTCGGTGAATGCGTATGGCGGCGCCGCTGCGGAGTTTTGACTTGGTAGGACCAGGTGGCGGAGGGGCTCCATGATATGATGTTGTCGTGGCGAATGTGGCTTCGGGGGGTTGTTGGTTGCTACGAGGCAAAATGATGGAGAGCAGAGAGAAGAGAGGAAGAGTGCGGTATTAACAGCAGAGATAGGCACTCGGCACAAGCAGACGTATCGATCCGACGTCTCGTCCAAGTCAGGTCAAGTTTCTTTGAAAGTGAAGTTCCTCCGCAAGTCGTAAGTCTTGGAGAGTGCGTCCTCACAAAATATCAAACGCAAAAGCAATCGACCCAGGTCTGACCGACCACAAGTACGTACATACGTACAGTTACACACAACGCGTATTTGAATCTCCCTTTTTTCTTTTTCCTTTCTTGGACCCTTTCTTTTTGGATCCTTTTTAAGCCAAGATTTAAGGAGAGGGGAGGGGGGAGGGAAGCGCGCGTTACGAATAATAATAGATAGGTAGGTAGGCAAGTGCTGGAGCTGTCAGCCGCCAACCGCCAGGAACAAGAAAAGTACTCCACAAGCAAAGCAAGCCGTAGCCAAAGCCGCAGTCGATCTGACGGCAAACGTTACGGGGGAAACCAACGCTACATACGGCGTACAGAGGACAGAGTACAGATTTTAATGACGGGGAGGATCGGTAAAGGAATGAGGAGGGGGGTGGGCGGGCGTGGGAACGGGTAATTACAAGATTACGAGGGCGGGAGTTGGAACTCCTTCGAGGATGAGGACGAGCAGGAGTATGATCTGCGGGAGGGAGTAGAGGGAAGGAGTATCACCGTTCCACAACTACTCGTACAACCAGGCTAATGAGATTCCATATTACCAGGTGCCAGATCAGGTCTATACTCGGTTTTACTCGGTATGGTTTTTTGTATGGGACGTACTCCGTTTGCGGTGTACTTTGGTGGCAGGCAGTGAGACAACGTCGAAGCAATTGCTAAGCATTATTGAATTAGCCCCCTCCTCCCCCCCCTCCAATGTCCATATCCATATCCATATCCGCAGGGAATACGGAGAATGGACTCTAGTACTCGGTACTTCGGCTAAGTATTGGAGGAGTGTAGGAGGTTACATAGGAGTGGTGGATGTAACAGAGAGTGAGCCTCCAACACTACGAGATTAGCAGTAGTGGGGTGGCATATCCGTGCGCGAGACAGGATACTTGTATTCCTTGATACTTGACCCCTCGGTTCCTTGGGAAGAGAAAAAAATGATAAAAATCCCTCTCAACCTGGACAAGATGTGAGTGAGCGTGGTGATTTTTATTCTCAATGCGGAAAATGGGGTATTTACCACCAAAATGAAAAGAGATGAGACGAGTTGGGAGAAGGATGAGGACGAGGATGAGGAGGAAGATGGAAGACGATTGGGAACAGCCACGCGTCAGCACTAGAGATCCAACTCTTTCGCCTGGCGCTCGTTCTAACGCCCTGGTGTCGTGGGTTCTGCAACGAGTAAGAGATTCCATTCCTCCTTCTGGCTAAGAGTCACCAAGACCATCTGGTATAATAACTGGTAGAGTCGATACTCCTTATCTAGCCTGTGTTCGCACCACATACCTACACTACACAGTACTCGCACGCCAATCCTAGTAGTGGTACTGGTCCATTTTGGGGGCGAGGGAAGGGGGAGGAGGGAGGACGGGGAATGCGGCTGAGAAATTCAAGGAGCATGCCCTCAAATCCCGCACGGGAGAACGCGCCGTGTGTGGTTATGTACTCAAAGTTCAGGACTCGGCACTCGAGAGAAATCATCCGGAAAAAGAACAAATGTGGCTCTCTTATACTCTTGAGCGGCTATTTTATATTTTATCAGATACACAGGGAGGTTGGTTCTCAGCCTCGTCATGTCAGCCAGCCTCGTGATGCGGGTTTGGACAAGCACGGGTATAAGTATCAGGATCAACATGGATCCAGCATTCAGTGGTTTCTACATCCTCGTCTAGCATGGCCGCCCGTCACTTAGCGAGTACACATACATCTCTCTGCCCAATTCAGTCTCAGCCTTGTGACAAGCATTTTCGACGCGAGCTTCAATCTCAATCCCAGACACGATGGAACGCGCCATTTGCAAATGTGCGCACTGTTTCAGCTGTATGCCTATCTCTCCGTGCGAATCACTCTCCCCTGCTGCCCAGTCGGCAGTGCATAGCCAGGCCTCCACCCTGCGAACAACATTCTATGTTTATCTTAGAGTACAATTGCAAACTTTTTCTCAATCCACCCGACAGTGCTTTCGTCGCCTCTCGACCATCAATCACATCCCTCTCTCCCACCAGGACCCGAAGCATCCACAGAGCTGTTCCTCAATCCCCTTCAATGATTCCGCAGAAATGCTGCCCCCATCTCAGGTCATGTTCTCCTCCCTATGCCCATGTCACCCTCGCCCCCAAGCACATTTGTTTTCGCAAGGACACGAACTTTCTGTCCCCTCGTCCGTCGAAAACATGTCTAACCATCCCATTTCATGTAAAAGAGCAAATCGATCCGATAAAGAAACAAGTGAATAACCATCCAACGCCGTCGCTAATATTCACGTGTTTTGTGTCTTTCTGAAACACATTGTGGCCGGTGAAAATATTGCGGAGAGCACTCTGACACAGAGCCTCCTCTTTCCCGCAGGTGACAATTTAGTGGCCGTAAGAAAGTTGCATTAAAAAGATATCATCCCCATCAGAGTGGTAGTCGAAGACAGAAGGTCAACTGAATGGATCCGTCACTCGCTCGGCCTCTGGATTTTCCGTCTTGGGATAACATCCGAATCATATGATGGTACAAAGAGGACTCAGTCCTCCTTTGGAGAAGTTGGAGAATATTGTGGGCTGTTCGGAGAGTATTGTGGACTAGTCGCCGACGCTGAACGAGCCGGTGGGCTTCTTGGGGAAGCATTGTACATCGGACTCGTGGGAGAATAAGATGGACTAGTCGGAGACGTCGGGCTAGTTGGGCTGTAGGTAGGCGACGTCGGAGAGTAGCTGGGTGACGTCGGAGACTGTTTGTTGGCACCACCACCATACATGGGACTTGTTGGGCTGTACATTGGTGAGGTGGGGCTGTAGACAGGCGACGTTGGCGACGTCGGCGAGGTGGGACTGAAAGCCGGAGAAGTCGGTGAGTAGCTTGGAGAGGTTGGTGACCCGTATGCTGGAGACGTAGGTGAATAGTTGGGCGACGTCGGCGAATAGCTCGGCGAAGTCGGCGACGCCTGGTAACCAGGTGAGGTTGGCGAGTATGCTGGTGAGGTCGGCGTAAAGGCAGGGCTGGCCGGCGAGAACGATGGTGACGTTGGTCCAAAGCCAGGGCTCGTTGCGCCAAACATGGGAGATGTTGGTGAATAGCCGGCAGTGGGCGAAAAGCCAGGCGAGCTTGGGCTGGTACCGCCGAACGGACTGGCAGGTGAGTAACCACCAGGGCTGCGCGAACCATATGGACTGAATCCTCCAGCTCCACCAAATCCAGGTTGGTAGTCGGTAAATCCTCCTGGAGTTTCCGAGCCAGCAGCGATGATGGGAGAGAAAGACGCCCCGTAGTCTGGAGACCCCAGGTAGCCACTGTCTTGCATTGGCGAGCCAGTGTCATAGGGGGTAGCAGCCCCATCGAGGAGTTGCTGCGAGCCTTTAACACCAATGGCACCACCAAGCCCAAGGTT